TTTACATCAATTAACCCAACAAGAGGAGATACACATTTGGTTTCCTCATAGGGTGGCAAAGGTCTGATAGGAGGCCACATCTACTTTTTAATACATCATTCACACTTTATATGTCTGCTGTAAGCCCTTCTGTTATTTTTAAAAACAAATAGTCTCAGCCTGTCTCTCTCCCAATGGGGACTGCTTTTTTATGCTGAAATCCTGGCTTTCTTAAAATCAGCTGAAGTTTTGCCCCTGAATCTAAGCAGGGTCAAGATTTTACTCTCATTTTTTGACCATTTTAGTTAATGGTTTAACTTGATCTCTGTATCCTGGATTACACAGACCACTCAGATGAACACTTATCGTTCCTTTTAAGTGAAGTAGTTACCTATGTCCTTATTTTTTTCTCCCTTTTTAACAAATCAAAACGTTTGATTTGCTCTCTGCCAACAGAGCCACGAACAGCGTAACCTCAGTCTCTCTGTGCCCTGATTTGCAGTGTATTGTCTGTTACAAAAGTGTGGAATTGGATTAAAAGCTACAGCGCGGTGTTCTGCAGATAAACCCACTGCAGGTGCGCAGTTTAATAGGATTTTAATTTGGTAACAAGTGAACAAAGAGAGGAAGCCTAGAATGGGATTTTCTAGATGAAAAAAATGCTATTTGTGCTGAGAGAAAGCAACTGCAAGCTCTGCGATAAGGAATAAAGATCAGACCAGTGCTCTCTGAGCTGCACTTTTATGGGTTACGGCTCACTCAGAGCGTCTCCGCTGCTGCCACCGGTTTCAGCAACTCTTCGTTCATGCTGCGTGCGTTTGGCTGTGTAGCATTTCACCTGCCACACTCCCTGCTAAGCCAGCGTGCTCAAACCTTGTATTGTCTCACTCCCCGCCCTCTACATTTTTTCGTATAAAAATGTTTTCCTCGGGACATGTCCCCAACTTGGAATGTATTCCGTTTTCAAGATTATTAAAAATTATTTTCATGCTTCAAATTGTATATAAGAAAAGAAGAGTCAGAAATGTGCTGTGCTGTTCAAAATAAATGGAAAAACATGGTCTGTCTGCTGAGGAGTGTAATTTATATTCAGCATGAACTAGGAATGGAGGACCAAAAACAGATGGAGAAGGACGAGGAAGAATGAAGGTGTCAACTAAAAGATCATGAAGGGATCTGCTAAGCCACAGACACATATTGATGCTGCTGCTATCAGGGCAAGGTTGGGAGATTCTTTTCTGATTTCTGTTACCAGTCCTCCCTCTCGTTTTTCCAGGGTTTCATAGCAAAACTGAGTTTTTAGCACTAATTTCAATGAGATGAGGGTGGAGGTGCGATTAACAGATTTTTTTTTCCCCTGAGCATAACAGGCTGTACAGAAGGCAGAGAAATGCCTTGTGGGACAAGATGAAAAAGATACGGAGGTTGGTGTTGTTGACAGAGGACGGAGTGGAGGATGGGAACTGACGAAAGACACTGGGGCGCAGAGAGCTGCAGAGGCTGCATGAGGTAAAGGAGTTAAAAAGAAAAATTATGAAATGTACCTGTGATGCACAAGGCACTATGTCAGGCAGCAGAAATGTGGTCCAGGAAACAGCAGTGTGGCTGGTGGGTGCCGCCAAGGCTGCTGAGGGCTTAGATACCCCACAGAACGGGTTGTGGCCAAAGGGGGATTAGTCGGCAGTAAGGACAGATGGTTGCTTGGGAGCATGATGATGATTTTTGGTGATCAAAAGCCACAGAACACAAATCCTCAGGCAATGGGAATCTGTTCAGAGGATCTACAGAGCTGGTGATACAAAGTGGTGGGTGATGGAGATGCTTTTGACAGCTGTGTTTTCCAGCAATCTGTGAGATTGGTATTGACACCCAAAAAGGAGGAGCCTGCAATGGTTGAGGTGGGAGCTACCACCGGTTTGAAGGACACAAGGAGGCAGAAGTGCTCACTCACTCTGTCACAGCTCCTGAAATCCTTGTGAGCTGTGGGTTCAAGTTTTTCAGCTCCCTCACAAGCTGCAAACACTTGAACCACAGCATCAGCAGGCTCTTACTAGAATCTGGTGTTCATCCTATTATCAGCATCTTGCACGTGGACTGGTGGAATCTATCAGCTGTTGGGATCGTTCATCTCTAAGCTCTTTCTGTGCTCTCTTCACTGTCTCTTTACCTTCTCCATACCTTCTCTCAAGTCGTCATGCTCCCCATTTCATGTTTTATACCCTTCCTCTCTTACTCTGACACCCCTCGTCCCTCACTCTAATCAGCCTTGCTCTGTTCATGAAATCATATACAGACTATGCAATACTGATAGTCATCTTTATAGGCACATCACTTACACAGACAAAACCTGGGTCAAACCCTTGTCTGCTGACACCTGCGTAGAGCATTGCGATGGGCATAGGGGGCCATACAAGAGCCCATATAGGCAGCACAGTGAAAGAGCATAGAAAGCAGGGCAGATATTGAATAAGATTTCTACTGGTTTATCTCCTAATTTCTGACCATCAGTGTTTGAGATTCCTTGTTTGTAGCCTGCACCCAACTCAGTTTGGTTTTTAACATTAAGGTGGTATGGCAGGATGGGTCATTATATTATGTTTGAAAAATAACAAAAGCTGTCAAGCATGTCCATCACATGTATAAATCATCCGTGATTTGTCCCCTTTGTGCCTTCTTTCTCCCCTTCAGTTTTCATTGCTGAACTAGTTTTAGCATATCTTTTTAAAAAACAAGGGTCCACCAAGGGTCTTTATAACTAATAAAGATGTTTTTAAAACAGTCCATTTCCAGTCCTTGTCCTAGTTTATGGAATCTGAATACATCTTGGCAGTAAAATAACTATAGCAGAATCACCCCAAAAATGTAATTATCTTTGTAAGTCTTGGTGCCATTAACATTTGTCCAGCACAGTTTTCTGGAAAACACAGTGTTCTCTGAGATTTAAGACGAGTACTGTTACTGCATGGAAAAGAAATCTGAAAACAGCTGAATATCTAATTCATCACTTTTGTTAAGCACAGAGGCTTGATCCATGTTCCCTTATGTCCTTGTATTTAACCTTGTATCCTAGGAAGAGTTAGAGTCCATCTTGTTTTCTACCTGTATGTCATGCTTTAAGCTAATAAGTCTGAAGCAGTGGACTGACTGCAAGAAAGTCTGGTGGTGCAGAAAGGTCTTAATGATTTCACACTTCTGCATCTTTTGATAAAACTAACAGGTAGGTGGAGGAAAGAGTCTCTCATTGCTTCCAGCAGCAAGAAGAGACTACACCATGCACTCTCCTGGTCAGTAGATACATGCAGCCTGTTTGTCAGCTAGACCACAAGCTGCTCCCAACCCACTAGAGCAGTGCTGCTCTTGCTTAGACAATGCTCAGGGAATCTGAAGGAGCACCAAAGGTCTGCTGGAAACCTAAGGAAAGAATCAGGAAACTATGGTGATGGGGAGGTGAGTGGTGTGGACATTACGATCCCTTGATAGTGTTGTGGGGTGAGATGTGGAGGATGCTTTGTGGCTTGAGGTTTAGGTGGCATTGGACACAGCTCCATGCAAACCTAGATTTCATTAGTTCTACTTCACACTCATAAAAACCCCCAACCAACCACACTCCTCCCAATCCCGCCCAATTTACCCAATTAATTTTTTTTTTTTTTTAATGGTAATTTTCTTTAAAGTTAATATGTATTTCACCTTGCTGCCTGGGGCTTTGTCCACTGAGCAACTCAAAACTCTGGAAAACCATTGCTTAATCCGAAGTTATTCTGGCTCTGCATCAAAAAGAGAGCTGTCTGTGGAGCACTGGCTTGAGGTTGCTTCTCTGCAAAATAGCCCCAGAGATGGCTGGGCTCATAAAACCACAGAACAGGGGACTCATTTTGCTTTGAGACCCAGAAACTTTCATCTCCATCTTCCTCTATATAGGACAGGAAAATGTGAGCCACGAAATCCATGAGTAGCATATTAAGCAAATACCAGGATCCTGGGTTTAAAGAAAAACAAAAATAATTTTAACAGCCTCTTCATTTGCTTATCTTCATGGTGTGTTCTTTTTTGAAGTGCTTCTTCATATTAATGGGCTAGACAAAGTAGCAGACTAGCACTCATCAAATAGTACTTACATACTTCCAAATATCATGGCAAAATAGGCACCAACTGCAGGTTTTAAACACAAGCAAAAGCCTTTTCCCCTTATTTTCGCTAGAGAGAAAGTGTACTTGTGTTTATTTGTTTTGCTGTTCAAGTTCTTCCCCTATGTTCACTGCTACTACAAGGCTTATCAACAACCACATATCATCCTTGTTCTACCTTCAGACAGAGAAATCTTTCCACCTCTTCCCAAACAAACCCAATCAGACGTCTGTGTGTCTTGTATGTATGACATTAAATGGCCTACCTTGCAGCTTGGGGCATAACTGGTAAAAGCCAAGAGAGACTCATTGAGGCCATTGAATTTTGAATCATACCTTGTTTGAAAGCCCTTACAGTAAAGAGTAGGTCTTCTTCCATGCCATAAATCTGCATAGGAATTCATCAAGCAATTCATAACCTCTGCATCCCACGAAAATATTTACATGGACATCAACAAGGAGATACCACAATTTATATGAATGACCAAGGCTTATACACCTGTAAACATGAAAAATACTGCCTCGTTTGATGTTATATGTGTCTGAGAAGCTGCTGCTTCTGCTGTTTGTCTTTTTGCCCATCGTTGAATTATAGCAAGGTAAGTGGAAGTACCTGTTTATCTATGGGACAAGGAAAGGGACTTTTATACTTGGAGTGTTCAAACTGTTCAGACCTGACACTAGTAGTCCATGACTGTTTCGAACCATCTTACAGGTGTTTTCAATATATTCAGTGAGAGTAAGCATGAAACAAAAGGTACCACTCCAGTTCTCCCTTCAGATAGTACAGAAGGACACAGTTTTGAAGAGGGAGTAGGTTGAAGCAGCTTGCCTGCAAAAGAGGAATGCACAGGTCACTGTCCAGCCAGTGTGGCTCAGCAGTACGTCCCTGAATGCCTCAGAAGGGCCACAGGTACAGAAACAGAGGTGTACCAGCTGACGTGAAGCTCTGCGATGGAGATATGTAGAGGCCCATTTGCTGGAGAGGAGATGTGGCTGAAGGAGCTGTGGAGGTCCCATTAGCCCTGACTGCTGTAGCCCACTTGCTCCTTGGTGCCTTACTTTGGGGGTAACTGCATGGCTCCTCCAACCACGCTTGTGCATCACCCATGTGGAGGCTGGGCTGGAGAAGTGTAAAAGTCAATCCTAAATCCAGAGGTGTGATGCCAGTATATTATGTGTGCCACATGTGCCAAGATCCAAGGCAAGAGCCCCAGGCAGAAGTAGGTTTGTGTTTGGTTACTGGTATGTGGTTTATTTTGGGGGAGGCACACTGCAGTAATATGACAATCATACATTTCCCTAAGTACGTGCATTTTCTCAGTGTGGATGCTACATATTTCGATTTGCAGGGTGCCCTCTGCTCCTGCAAGAAATTATGAGATTTAAGGAATTTTCAAAAAGCAGTGACCCTGAGTCCAGAACTTTTACACCAGGTGGCTTGTTTAACATAACGGCTTCAGCCTTGTCCACTAAAACTCAAATCCGACTGGAATAGAAACATGGGGAAAAAGGGACATTGATAGGTCATATAGCCCAGCATCTTAAAAAAAACAAGGGTATTAAGAAAGAATAATGATCAAATTAACTGGAGCATCACAGAGAAAGATTAAAAGATATTTTTAAACCCTCTCATATGTAAGAATAAATCTAATCTTAGTGTTACTGAGGTATAGTAGGAAGAGTGTCATAAGTGGGCTGAAAATAAAATTTGTAACTAGTTTAAGGAAGGCTCAGCAGAGGAAGGGATGCTCTCCATCACTTGTGACCCCAGCCACCACCAACTGCAGAACAGGGAGGCAATTCATTAAACTCTTCTTGTGGTGGAAAGAGGGAAGAGGATTTCATCATCCTGGGGAATTTCAGTAAACATGATGCTTCCAGTCCTGTTCTTGGAATTCATTCCTGATTTTCCTTAATGCCCAAAATATTGCATGTAGCTTTGCAGAGTTTTGTGCAGAACTCCTCTGGAGAGAGAGAAATGAATGATTATTTTATTAGTACTGTCATGCAGCAGCTGATGTACAAGGGACCCTACTGTGTTCTGTTCCCTGCAGACGCAGAACAAAACTGTGATCCCGCTCCAGAGAGTTTGCGATCTAAATATAAGGCAAAAGGTAGCAGGTAGGTGCGGAAAAGGGGTGCGCACATATATATGCACAAACACAGGTGTTAGCAGGGGAAGAATACTGAAGAATACAAAAGGCAACAACCTGAACGTGCCCCTTTGTTACGTCTTTGTAGGAAGCACATGAAGGTATGGTTTTGAAGGGGAATGTCAAAGAAGATAATGACCTTTTCTTTGTCTATTTGTGTGAAGCCCCATCCAATAGAAGAGGAAAAAATATGAAGGTGCTCCTTTGAAATATCTAAAAAGCGGTTCATACAGTTTGGGATCAGATGCTACTCACAGGAGACAGTGCATTTCTGCAGACTGAATAATAGAGACATATTAATATAATATGTCATATAATAGAGACATTAGAGATATAATAATAACCTCTGAAAGGTTTTACAAATGAAGAGAAAGGGAGGTAGGTTGGTGCAATATAGAAATGGAAGAGACTGAACTGATTCAAGAAGTGGTTGTTCCATTTGAAGCCACTTCCAGTGAATGCGACTGCAAGGTCCCTTCGCTTTTCTTGTCTTATACTGGAGTGGGATGGATTTGCTGCTTGACTGCTCAGAGCCCTAAAACAGAGAGAGAAAACTAACCCAGCTAATGGAGTGGTTAGTTTTCAGTCAGTTTAACGCCTTAAACAGGCTTGCTGCTCGCTAGGCAAGCTCTTACGTCAGTGGAAGGCGTAAGGAAAAGGAGCATATAGCTGTTGTCTGAGGAACTAACTGCCTTTTTGGCAAGTAGATATCACAGTGGCTCTGCTCTGGCTGTATTACACAGAAAGAACCTGAAGGACTGGGAGCTATCACTTGAGAGATCTGGAGTTTTTACGGTTTGGGATATTAGTGGCCCCAGCTCTCCATCACCCTTCTGCTGGGTTGTGCAGCTCTTGTAGGGAGGGAGAGCAGAGGCTCACACCTCTGGCTGCTGTTCCCCATATTTCCACAGACAAATGATGATTTCTGCAGAAAAAGGGAGTCCTGCCCTTCCCTCCGTCTCCAGCTGCATGCTCCTCCTTTCCTCTCTTCTGCTCATCCTAGAGTTTGGGTCAGAAAACAAATCTGGTTGAAAATGAACCGTTTAATTTCCCTGACCTGGTGAGCTACATCACCTGGTGAATGGTGCTGCTGGCTGCAAGGAAGTGAGTGGGAAGAAGTGATGCCTTTATTGACTGCAGCATGAATTTACATCAGTTAAAATGACCTGGTGCCTCTGCCATTTCAGCGCAGAAAGGGGCATATCAGATGAGAGTCACAAAGATCCTACTCACCAAAACTGCCTGCGTAGTTGAGGGTCATAGCCTTGCTTACTGCACTCAACAGGAAGTTCCATCTCAACTGAAAATCTGATGCCAGTTTTCTCAGTTCTTCTTTACTGCTGCTTGGCTGCAGGCAGACAAAATATTGCTTTATGATAAAGTTGTCTCAAATAATTCCTTATTGTGTTGCAGAGTATTTCCCTGTACAAACTGCATACAAAGGTGGAACAAGCAGGGTTGTTTTTTTTTTTTTTTTTTAGAATCCTAAAATAATTTATGTTGAAAGGGATCTTTGGATATCATCTAATCCAATCTCTTGCTCAAAGCACGGCCAGCTTAGTACAGGCCTTGTCCAACCAAGTTTTGTATACCTTCAGGATGGAGATTCCACAGCCTTTCCGGGTAACCTCTTCCCATGCTTAACTACTCTCATGGCAGTTATTTTTTTCTTTTTATTTCTTGTAAATTTTCTTTGCTGCAACTTGTCTCTATTGCCTTATGCCCTATAACTGGGAACGCCCAGGAAAATTCCTGTTCCATCTCTATACCATTCCATGAGGTAGCTGAGGGTTCTGTGAGATGAAAGCATTGCAAAGTACTATTCTTAATTTAAAAAGAAAACCAAAAAACCTAAAAAAACAAACTACAGAAGTACAGTTTACCCCGCTTCTTCAGAAAGGGGGGGGAGGGGGAAAGATTTTGACCACTACCTAGACCCAAATTAATTGGTCTGGCAGCAAACCAAATGCAGTGGTGCGGTCAAGCTACTGCTAGTTCTGAATCAGTGAAGGAATGGGGGTGGTAGAGTTGGTAACCCATGGGAAGGTGCATGTGTGAGCGTGATCGTACTTGAATCTTTCACAAGAGCTAGAGAAGAGAGTAATAGAGAAATCATCACTCTCCTACCATCTGCTAAAGTCAACAGGTTCATGAATCAATGATTTCGGGAATTATGATGTGTTCTTTTCATTTTTACTAACCTTTTTCTTCTGAAGTTTGTTTTATTAGGGACTGTTACAATATGTGTCTACAAAATGAGAGCAGATACTGAAACCACCCGAGTGGATATATATATATGCGCGTAAATATGCTTGTAGTTGTTTGCACAGATGGAATTTTCGTATGACAATTAATTTCCCCTTTTTCTGCAACATGCATAAATTTTATTTATGCAAATCTGCAGTCTGGTCACGTTGCTAGTGTACAATGTAGCTCCTGCAGACAAGTGACAGTCAGCATGTAGCAGGATAAATGATGTGATCACTCCTTCTTTTCTGAAATTATTAAATTAACTTTATACCTGAATGACAAAAGCTTGAAGATTTGAAGCCATACAGTTCAGAAGAACCCGGATATCTGTGGAAGACGCCAGCAAAGCCATTAAGTCCTTCAAACCTATGAAATATAGAAAGGAGGTGATTACTTGAAGTGCCTGACTTGCTTTTTGGTTTGTTTCTTCAGTTTTTAGCTTTTTTCCTTTTGTCTTTATCTTAAAATATATTAAGACACCTGTTTATAGCATTATGATTAATATAATCATACTGTTCCTTTCATGAGGAATAGTACTCTACTTTGAAATCAGTCAGAATTCATATTTATGTCAATTTCCACCATATCTGCACTGACCTTGTCATCAAGGCAAGAATAAATACTTCAAATACAAAAGCTGGAATGTGGTTATACACAATACCAACTTACTTATCTGGGGTTTTATGTGGTTGAGAAAAAAAAAAAATCTTTTTCATCTGCTGAGTGGGAGAAAACAGTTTTTAAACAATAACAGAAAATACAGAATATTCTGTAGACCATCAGAAATATAAATTATATTGCCAAATACCAATGCAGCTGTTCCACCCAGTGCCAGACGTTACAGCATTATTGCACTTCTCTGACTTTATACTCTTCTAACTGAGATGTCTTCCTTCAAAAAGGCATATGGATAGGCTCTGTGAAACCTTGCTTATTATAAATAACAATTTGGAAAAGCAACAAAACCAGAGAATGCAATAAATTCCCCTTGCAAAGAATATGACCATCATTAATATAACGAGCAAATGTAATAAAAGCATTCTGTGCAGTGTTTTTGATTTTAAGCCGTATATAAATATTTAAATGGTTCTCCTGATGGTTCTGTGAAGAAGGCAAATTATTATTCCTACTGAAAGCAGTCACGGAAAAGTTGTGGCACATCCCTTGTCAGTGAGTCAGTCGGTGGCAGGCCAGGAACAAAGAGCCGAGGTTTCCCCCTGCCAGTTCTATGCACAACCTCATCCAACGTGCCCATCTCTTGCTAATAATTTAAATGGCAGCCCATTAATCTAAAAATTAACTTGCCATTATGTTCCCATCTTTTTTCATTGAGCTGGCAAATGCATTTTGTCATGGCTGCATACAAACTGTGTATTGTGTTGTTTACAGCAGCACATCGATCCCACAGGCTGCAACACAGGGAAAGGCCACGAAAGCTGAAAGGCCAGTAGTCTTCGTCCAGTTCAGCATACAATATTTTAAAATCCAGACACAAGAAATGATTTTGTGTACTTCAATTAACAACAGAGGAAAATGTGAAATGCAACTCTTAGGAACTTCTTTTTGCCAAAGAAAATGATAAAAAATTAATATCCCTCTTTGTCAACCTTCTTCTAGAAGATACAGCAGTTAGTAACACAAACCCCACTGCTGCTGCCACAGAAAGCTCTAAGAGAGAATCAGAATGGAAAGCCTTTCATTCTTAACCTTTAAAGTTAAAAGGATAATATTACTTGCTGCATTCTCGTTTTTATTGGCTCTTTGCCAGTACTTCAGGTTACAGCAAGACTATAATTCCCGTGAGGGTAGATGCCATGAATAAACAAGAGGAAATGCTGGAGCTTTAACAATAACAAGCAGGGGCTTCAGTGGATAGACAAAATACAGCAAAAAAATGTTACATTTCAGTTCTATGTTGTTCGGCAGCTCCTCCGGATTCCTAAAGTTCTCTTCAAAGAGGTTTCCAGGCACATCCAGAAATCCCTGATTGATGACAGCATGCAAGTCTGATAGCAGCACAGTGACTTTGCTGTTGCTGTTCAAGACTCCTCTCATTGTCTATACAGAATAAGAAAACAGTTAGTGCCTTTCATTTTCTCAAGCCCTTAACTCAGTCAAAAAGCTTCCCTTATTCAATACTAGACTTTATATAACCAGTCTCTAAATTGAGAGGGTGGAGAGGGGGGGTGGAATCAAAGGAGATAAATCTTAAGTTGCCTTCAAGAGATTTTTGTTCTGGCAGATACTCTTTTCAATGACACTCTGTGTTGTTGTCTGTGATGAAGCAGACAAGGCTGACATACTTGAAGTATTTGTGCAATTGCCTGGGCAATCGCTTTTGCCTAGAGTTTTTATAGTTACGCCAAATAATGGTATTTTGTCTAAAACATGGAATGGTGTATCAGGGCTGACTTTCTCTTGATGTTACCTGGTTTTAGTACATGTTTCAATTAAATTCAAAGGCAAGTTTTCAGAATTTGCCCAAACCTTTGAGAAGGTAAAAATAACATTAGAACTATGGTAATTAGTTAAAATAATACTAGTTGGGATTTTATCCCATTTATCTGCTTATGAGTCATTTGTGAATGAATCTGGCTTCATATTTGTCCTAAAAAGTATTACTTACATAGATATTGCAAACAATTTTCAGCCTAACATTTGATCCTCATCTCTTCTTTTTTTTTTTTAATTAATTGCTAATATAACACAGTATTGCTTCAGATTCTCGATGAAAGAATGAAAACGGTGAAGGAAATTAAACCTGAATCCATTAAAATTTGTTAGTCCATACATTTAGTCTCTCACTTCCACACTGGCATCAGTAAGATCCTAAAGCCTTAATTTTGGGCTTTTATAGGAATAATCCATGTCCAGTTGGGCCTTACAGAGGAAAAATATTTGTTGTAATATTCAGAAAAACTTCAGGATTCATAAAAGTTTTAACGCATCTCATTCACCAGGTGCTTACCGTGACTCCACAAGCAGCAGTGAATGCTCCTGACCATTTGCTGGCAAACATAATTACCAATCTAGCAATTTATCTTTTTCATCATTCTGCTAGCTGTACTGAACTACCAAAGCACTCTGATTCTTGCTCAATAATCCCCTTTGGCTAAGTTAAAGACAGTCTTTTTTCTGATTTTACTGGGAGTTTCTAGTGTCTGAAGAAGAGCTGCTACTTGCAAGAGGAACACACGACCCAAAGGCTGTGAAGTACCAGGAGCAGTGTCTCCAGTACACTGCTAGCACCCCACTCACTCCATGCCCCAGTGTTTTAGACTGGTCCCTTTAGCCGTTGCACTTTGCTGCATGAAATATAATTTTCTAAATGACTGAAAGGCAGCTTTGGCAACACTTAAATACAGCTTACCAGAGGCAGGAATCAGCCCCAGGGAATGACAAGCATCGTATTCACATTGCTTTCTCACAGGGAATTTGCACCTTTTTCTGCTCTAATTACTTTTGCATGTCCAGGTAGTAGCAGCTGTCAACCTGCTTTATCTACCCATGATGGGAATGTTACTTTTTTTCCTCTTGAATGCTGACCCTGCCACAATTGGTTCCTATTTTCTCTCCAGGTGGCTAAATTATTGCAAAGTTACACTGTTCAGAGGCTGTGGCTGTTCAGCTCCTCCATAGAACTTCTCATCAAGAGCACTCTCTCCTGCTTTGACCATCAGCATCAGGTGTGTTTTAGGCAGAGAAAACTGAGAAGGATGATTAGAAATATCAAATGACTCCTATGTGAGAAAATAAGATAAACTTCAGCTTCAGACAGAAATAACTGAGGAAGGATATGATGGAGGTTTGTAAGGAGAATTGTGTGAAGAAGGGTAGAAATTTTAAAATAATAAAGTGTTTTTTCACACAACAAATAATCAAACCCTGGAACTCACTACCCCAAGATGTTGTGGATGCCAAAATCAAGCTATTAAATACCAAGATGTGGATACAACTTTCATGTCAGATTGCTGGAAGCCAGGAGAGTACAATGGAAGAGGAGTGAGGTATCATTTGCTCTATTCATAACCACTTCACATGAGCATCTGATGAGGGCCACCAAAGCAAACAGGATAGGAGTCCACACAAGCCTAGGATTGGGCCTGACTGACTAAAACACTCAGCAGTCCTTTCTGAGTGACATCCACCTCCCCATGAAGTATCTGCATTTTTCTCACAAGCTGAAAGTTTTAAACACCCGTGGTATTCAGCTCACCATTTTCAGGTGTGCCTTGGACAGGAGGATGCATCTGCAAGAGAATGTTTAGCCGGTATGTGTTTCCTACCCTGTTTTGCTGGAGGCCAGTATCCATGGCTTTGGCAAGCTCTCTAATAGAAGTTGTAATAGAGGCTATGTGACTGCTGAAAGACTATGGGGTTGGTTATTTACAAGACTTACTGAAACTATTGTTTTTAAATTGCGATGAGACTAATCATCACATACACTGGAATTCGTTGGCCCTTACCTTGTATTTTAAAGAGGCTCTAGAGAAGGTGCAAACATCATTTACTTGTGAGAACAGTGCCAAGAGCTTGTTAGCATGAACAAGAACCAGGCTCAGAATGTGCTGGGCTGTAAGCATAGATCTGACCCTTGCAGACCCTGAGGTCTGCAAGGTTCACTTTGTGCCAGTTAAATGGTGTAAAGGAGATGTAGAGCACCCAGAGGCTGCCACTAAACAATTCCCCTCAACTAGACTGAAATTCTCTTGCCTGAAATCTTGAGGATGTGAATTCAGTGTTGACTCTCTGCAGCTTTTCCGCACATCAGGACTAGGCAGGGAAGAAGCAAAAAGCTGCAACCAGCCCCTTGACATCATGGCTCAAGCACAACAAGAATCATATAAAGTCTGAGTATGCAAATCAAATGCAAATGACTGGGAATAGCTGGCACTTGCAGTCTTTCTGGATCATAAGCACTGTTTAGAAGCACATGAAGCTGAGCTTTTCAAATATTTAGTATCTCCAAGGGCTGCTGCAGTAAATGGGAACTGTGAGAGCTCAGCACCTCACAAAAGTCAACCTTTTGCCTGTGGTAGCGCACCTATGCATGTTTGTGCATTATAAAGATTTTTAAAACCTTTTTTAAAGAGAGGTGTGTCTTTTGTGTGTTGCTGGTAATGAGTTTTCCCACAAAGAGAAGCTATGTTTGTTAAGGAAGAATGTGACTGCCATGCAGTTCATGAAGCCACAGTCCCCTTCCTTCCTCCCCTTTATTGTGGGGACACAGTCTAGTGATTTAAGCCAGGCAGCACGTTGGGAGAATCTTGTGCTGCTGTTTGAAGAAGAAGAGACAATATACCACCTGCTCTCTTCTGCTTACTTCCCTACTCATGGTCTGTCATGGCCCAGACCACCTCAAAAGCCAAGGTTTTGAAAGTATCAAAGGACACCAATGGAAGGAAGGCTGCAGGGAGGGTACAGCCCCTCATAGTAATAGCACTGAATAAATACAGGGTAATGAAACAATTTCCTTTGTGGTGTTCAAAGGGTTAAGAATGCGGCTCCTGAACACATCTCCTTTGCCACTGTAGCTGCAGAGAATGATACTGTAGAGCAAAAAGCAGGCAGAGATATTAATTGTTAGAGAGATTTTTGTCTCATTCTTCCCAAGGAGAAAAGCCAGTCTGAGTGATGATTCTGAGGAGGAAAGTTCAGAGGCTGCTTCCCTGCAGCACTCCTTCCAACACTGTCTGGTCAGAGGATGGAGAAGATTTTGACAGCGGATCCCTGGGATCCATGAAAAAGGTGAGGGTCTCGTGCCCTTACAGACCTCACACCCTGCTCCCCCACCACGCAGCTTCTCTGCAGCCAGCAGATGAGTGATTTCCTTCATGCAGGCTTCTGTAGCACTCCTCAGAGTGGTCAGGATGCTACAAAAAAACAATTTTAGAATGACTCCAACATGTGCTATCTGACTGACTTTTGCAAGGCTGGGCGAAGGTACTGGAAACTGTCATCTGACCCTTCCAGCTACTGTGCTTTCGTCTCCATGGGGGACCATTAACCATATCTTAGATGCTTTCACAGAATCTAGAGGGAGGAAAAGGCCCCCTCAGCATACTTACGGCGTGGGAAGAGATAGGTAGGAGGGTGAACATGATTTTGACCATGGTCAATATACAGCTAAGAACACCTGTTCTGCTGCTGTTGTCCTACAATGGAGCATCTCATAAATAGTCCATTGAGGGAATGGTTCATAACTCCTTGAGGGAATGAGATGCCCATAGTTGTTGTTTCACGGATTCCAGAACATACCTTGGCCATGTTAGAGAGGTCTGTCTTTCTGCCGAGTCTTTTAATAAACACTGTAACTTCTGTTAAAGAAGAAGAGGCAGATGTTTCATATCATTAATATTTTACAGTCTAAAAGACGTTAATGAAGACAGGTCTTTTAAGTTAGAAAGTAGATCCCTAGGGGAGCAACAGGCTAATGGAGGGGACAGCAGGGCCACCGAGCCAGCGTTATGGGCTGGGGACCCTCGCAGTTCAGAGCTTGCAAGCAGAAATTGCCCTAGTCACCACTCTCCCTTCACTGCAAATCTATTAACCCATGACACAAAGGAAAAATACTTCCAATATTTTTTTTTACATTAAATACTTGTTAATTAAGACTAGTACTCTTTTACATGTATGAAGATGAATTAAGTCAATGTTAATTCTAAATCTCCTATACTTTGTTTAGAGGTTTTACATTTCCATCTATAACTTTGCAGCACTATTATAGCAGTTGGTTTCTTTGATTCTATTTTCTCCTGTTTATATTGTGTTGTAATTATGACAAGCATGGCCCAAGAATATCCTTTTTAAGAGTAAAATATAAAATAACTAATTCTTAGTTGCAGGAAAATCTAATATAAAGCAACTTACAAACTTCTGTAGACAGGCAATAGTTTTCAAGTGAAAATTTCTGTTTCTCTGAAGTTTGTAGAAACCAGAAAGACCAGGTTGTATATACAAAGGGCTGCAGCTGATTAATTACATATACTTCCATGCACACACATGTCAAAAACACATTACTGAGTTTGCTCTGTTAAGCATTCAAATGTAAGAAATGCCAGAATTAAGACTGTCTGTAAGTCTTCCTTGAGCATATGAACGCTAATACAATCTTTCATCAACATGAGAGCCCTCCTTTGCCACTGAGGAGTTATCTTCACTCAGTGAGCAACTGAGCAACATTATGTTTCAGTCAGAATCTTCAGCATCATATATAAATATATGTATGTATGTGCATACATATTTACACACACATATATACACACCTTTGTGTAGTACAGATTTTTCCAAATCCTCCTGTAATGACAGAGTCATAGTTTCCCTATGGGATATGGCTTTTTTTCCCTTTATATTGAACTGTGCTGTAGCCATTAATTAATTTCTCTATCTGCATAAAACCACTTGCAAAGTGAAGAGGCAGAACATTATCTAAATTTCAGAGGGCAGATTGCATATTATTCAGTCATCTACACAGCCAAAGCAATCATGGCAAGAGACAGATCTTTAAAAAGATTCAAGTGTATTATAATTTACCATGAACTGGGAATAATTTTGACTTAAACTTATTCTCACACATTATCTGAGTATTTATTTTTAACTGTGTCCCAACTAACTTGTCCTCACTACTATCAAAGTTACATCAGCTAATAAAGTTTTTAAAATAATTTCTATAAGTCTTGTAAAACAATCTTCTCTGAAGTTTAAGCAAAGATTATTTTATGAAAAATCTCTGTTACTTAAATGTACCTGTAGACTTGGATGTTTGGAGTGACAATGGAAACTCTTGCAAAGCATTAAGCAGCCAAAGTTCAACATTTTTACTGAACAATCTGATTGACTTAATGTGTTCCACATGCACATCCTCCAGGAAATCATGTAGTAGGATGTTCTCGATTTCCTAGAATACAAATTCATGGACCTGCACATGATTGGCATACTACAGATATTTGCAGCAGCATGAAACAAAATTGTATTGATAGTTTAAATGCAAACGTAAAGCAGCCTGCTTTTTTCTTCCAATTAAGCAATAGCAAAGCTACATTTATTAGCAGAAGGAAAAAGATCCTAACAATAAACATAGTTTCCTGAATTAATTAGTAGACACTACTTAATGACCTGCTGTAAATAAGAAGAAAATTATTTGGAAAACTGTATATTTATATGTGGAATATCATGGAGAAATGCAGTAGTGTTCTCAAAGGAAAAATAACTTGTAATTTGGAAAACAGTTATCGGTCGAAATTTCAGTCACATAGATTCATGCCAGAACCACGGACCACATTTATAACAGCATATTCCATTGATACTAGAGACTTTCAAAGGAATATATAGCAGCAAAATGGAAGTTGTCTCTAATTCCACTGGCTCTTTCAAAATCCATACTGTGCTGGCTCAGAAGAAGCCAAAGAACAGATTTGAGGTACTAACGAAAATCCCATTGTACAGCACACAAGGAACAGCTGGTCCTCCTCCTCAAAAAGACACATACACATAATTCCATAATTACAACAAACAAGTGTGTCTACTGTACCTTGAATAGCTGCCTATCATAGCTTTTGAACAGCTGGCACACATCTGGCAAGGACATCAGTGCTATCCTTTCAGGCTGCAGAGACCTCCAGAATGACATGATGCAGTCTCTCACCTGTTGCATAAAGTCCTCTGTGAATTTTCACCGATTTTACACTTGTGAAATGTGAAGTGTAATTCAGTAAAACTACACACATAAGCACAGAAGCAAAACAATGACCATGGAGCTGGGCTCTTTGCCTGATCCTTTCCTGGCTGGGCTCTGGTGTACACGGAAGCATCCTGGGGCAACAAGCTGAACCTCACAAGTCAGTGTAGGAAAAAAAGAACTGTGCCCTGGATATGCAGATATAATAAAACATATGTGTCCGTGGCCTTGTGCTTTTTGCTGGCCTCAGATCTGTTGATGTGCCAGGATTGTTCCAGGTATGCCTACAAGCTTGGAACATGTTGTCTTTATTAAGAATTCCCAAATGATTTGACTGAGTGCTCCTTTTGCCTATAAATGGTCATCTACCTTAGATCAAACCATCAAGTAAATAAGCTACACAGAAACAATTTTTGCCCTTAGAATTGTTTGCTATAATCAGAATCAGTGTTATTAAAGCAAAGGCATACCTTGTCAAGCTCGCCTCTTCTCACCATGTGTAAAATATCTTGACAATGGCTGTAGTACTCATTGGCAAGCAGTGCAACCTGTGACCAAAAAGAGGGTACAAAAAGATCTCACAGGCCAAGAGCTAACTTGCTTGATGACCGAATACTTGAACATACCATTTCATAGGGGTATTTCTTCCTTATCTCTTGCTCCCAAAGATAGAATCTGCTGAATTCCAGCCAAGGGTACTGAAATCTGTCTTGTTCACTCTTCAGATAAATGGCAGGTGGAGAATGGTGTACATTCTTGCTCTCAATGCATGAGAATTTATTTTGCACAATTAAAAAAAAAGAAATCACAATTATCTTGTTGGTTCTGTTAAAGGTATTAAGTACTTTCCTGAAATTGTATAACATGATTTTTTAATAAGCTGTATTTCTTCAGAGGAATGCTTGTCTTTTGGTTTTTTAGAAAGTAGGAGTGGATGAAAGAAACAAGAATGGCTGAGTAATTATTTAAATCCTAAACAGTACATGAATTTCTTTTCAAAACCTGTGAATATTTAATGCTATACATCTCTTTCACATATATTTTCTATAGCACTCATGTCACAGTTGTATCCTTCTAAATAAGGCTGCAGATAGCTGGCTCTGCTGTCCGAGTGACAGCACGTTCCTCATCAGCTGTCATTACATCCACTTCAGAGCACTCACTACCACACTCGAGTGCTCCATAAAAATAAGACAAACATCCAGTCTCTCCTTTTTCTCTCGCTTCGGTCCATCTAAGTTTGTTGCTCATGGTCTGCTGGCTGACTTCCAACAACCCTGCTGTCAAGCCATCCCGTGACAGCACGCGTATGGGAGAACTGCCACAGGTTAGTCTCACATCTGCCCTTTTTGGTGAGCTGGGGTTGCCCTCTTTTTTCTTAATCATTTCCTAGTATTTAAACACTTATCATGCCAATAAACTCTAAGTGTGTTGAAGACACCAGCTCAGTAGCATGACAGTCTGTTACCGTGGGCCTCAGACAAGGAAAGTTGTGCCCCACTAACTCCCCTAATATTCAAAATGTGGGCTGTCAGCCACGATTTCCGCTCTCAGCACATATAAAATTACTTGAGCTGACATTAAGACAACAAAAATATTTAGCTACCAGGTGCAATGGGAGTGGGGGAAGTAAGCTTTTAGTGAGATTACACAGGCAAAGATCATTTTGAAGAAGATGATGGGTTAACAGTATTTAATCAGAACATTTTATATAGCAGTTCTAATTAAACACACAGATAGACATTTTGTTGTAAGTCTAATGTATCCGAAACTCACTGTTCTTTTTTTTTGGCTGGTGCTCTTGTAACCAGCTGCATCTCCATATCTGTAGGCATTTCCACTGTGGTAAAATATACAACAGAAAAAACACATTTAAAAAGCTCACCAATTATTTCTGTATTTGGTAAGAAAATGAGCTCAAACTGAATAGAGTGCACTAGGTTGGAGCACTGTGTTTGGGAAACAAACCCCGCTCTCTTTCCTGCCATTCAGCAGCCCCATGATTTTCTAATGAGCTTGAAGACCAATTTCTTAATTTTAAGATAAAACTGAGCCGTTAATTACAAAGACAGCAAGGTATTAGCCATTAAACAGTGCAATGCCTTCCAATTCCTTACACCAAAATTGTGGGTTTGTATTTGTAGCTACCGTTTGTTTGGAATTATACTAATAATTATAAAACATGCAAATAATGAAAGCATAATCATCTTTGTGCTGTGATTTCACAGTAATTACTTTTTCTTTACCTTGTATCAGTTTAGATGGCAATTTTTTTTTTCTGATTTTCCCCCATTCACTTTACAAGCCTGCTGTGGTGTTCCACACAGTCAGAATGCACCCGGACCTGCAAAAGCTTGACCACCAGCTTTTGGCTGAAAAGCCAGGGATGTGGGCACAATAGGCTGCTTTCTTGCTTCACCATCTCCTACCTCTCTCCCTGCCTGTTTTGCTGAGGCTGATCCTACAGGAGGGAGAGGCAATGTTGCTGGTAAAAGGAACGGGCTGTGAGAGTTGGATTCCCCCAGTCAAGCTCCCATCTGCTGCTGACACCTGCTCACTGTCTGTGAAGGCATTTCAAACTCCAGGATCCTTTCAGACTCGGCTGTTTTGAAGGGTGACAGGCAGGGGCTTTGTAGAAAATGTGCTTCCACTGGTGACTGACAACACTCAGGCTATCTAATCAGATCCTGGCTGCTGGGATGTATTATAAACCAGGGAACCGCCATACGTCCTGAAGAGCAGAGGGCAAAATGTAACAGCTTATCTGCTTGGTTGGAAACTCAAGCCACTGAAAATGCCTCCTCTCACCTCTCTGCTGTCCACGGGACTGACACTTGCCACCTGAAAAATTACCTTTCCCTCTGCCACTACTTTGCCATGAAGGCGATGCTCCAGCGAAACAACCAAACTGGCTGCCCAAGGCAGAGCACAGTGTTCATACTGGGTGTGTTTGGTAACGTACTCTTTCTCCCAGTCATTTTAGAGTTGGTGGCTGGACAAAGGGAAGAATGTGTAAGTAGAAATGTTTCATAATGCTTCTTTCAGTGCAAGATCCTTCCTGCAGATTTCTAAAGCCTGTTAAACGAAATTAATGACTATTTTCCAGCTCCTGCTCTTGCAGCGAAGGCGGCCAGCTGTATCTTCTGCTGCTGCTACTATGGCAACACATATCAGCATCGCTTTCCTCCAGTGGGCTGGCTCCTGGCAGGGATGGCAAGGTGGGAGAAGGGGTGCTGCGTGGGTCCTTCTCACACCCCAGCAGCCAGCCAGGAGCTCAGAGATGGTGGAGTGCAAATACCTATGGAAAGCTACATTTCTGTGTGCTTCTGTTGTTAGCAAAGGTGGTTCGGACTCACCTGGTGCCTGCAGAGGTGCTCAGCTGCCAGGCAGAGCTGCTCCTTTCCCCTTGAGAGCGGTGCCTGGGTAAAGACAGGACACACAAAGCAAGAGGTGGGTGGAAGAAGGGGAAAATGGGTGATGGCAAAATCACAAGGAGTTTCACCTTGTCTCTTGCATAGCTTGGATGATGCTATGGTGTGGGAACTAGAGCTAAAACGGGAAACACAATGGTGGGGATGATGAAAAGACTAACAGAGGAGGTGAATGGGAAGGACAAAAGAAAAATGAAAGAAGAGAGGGTAGTGAATGTGCATGCTGCTGACTGCCAGATTACACTGAGATTAGAAAACGTAATTTGCTAGAATCATATCAGATTTTTTTTAATTAAAAAATCGTGGGTTTGCTTCACTAGAAATTCAGCAGCCCAAAACATCTCTGTTACTAGAATCACAAAGGAACTCTTATGAAGCCAAAATTAAATGGCACTTTTTAACACTGCCATTGAGTGTTAAACACCATCCCTCCTTGATCTACCAAAGTAAGTATCATTTTAGGGAGAGCTTGTCCTCAAAGCTCCCGTTCCTAGAGGGCACCCTATTGTAACACAAATCATTGAACACAGTATTCCCTTAAATCTCTGTAATACATTTGGAGACCTCATTGGGTACAATTGTGTTTATTTACACTGCTTTCATAACATCGCTGGAGCAGTGGTACACATATCTTCAAAAAATGAAAAATTTCTAAACGAACCAACTCACAAGTGCTGTATAAAAGCATCCTCATCCCTTCTCGTCTGAACATGTTCCAACTCAGCCAACCAACACATCTGAGGCTCCACTGACTATCAAAAGGCAAATGCTGCCTTTGTAGTCAAAGGCAAACCGTTATAATCATATTGCCATTCCCATGACACCAACAAGCAAAGCTCCCAACCTGCCAGACCTTTCACAGGTCCAGTTCCTCACTACCAGCACCATTTCAATTGCTGTCTATCTCAATATGGTCAACAAATATTATTTTCAGTAATCAGAGACAGTAGATCATAGTTTTTAAACCATCCCTTTCTTCATCAACCCACAGGTTGAGTGGATGCCTTGGTTGCTCAACTTGGCTCCCAGCTCCACCTTCCTCTCAGGTGGGTGCAACATAAAAAGTATCTGCATGTTGGACTCTATCCAGGCATGGGAGAGAGCAATAGTTATTGCAGGTAGAAAGTCTTAAAGTTTTCATTACTCTTTTTTCTAAAATTCAATTTTCTAATTTAAAAAAAAATCTAGAATTTGCAATTGCTGGTTTGATCAATTTCAGTGGATCATGAAAAATTAATTCTGATTTCAAAGAGTACTGAACACTACTGATATGAATTATTTCCTTGATGCATTCCTATTTATTTACAAAGAATGGAAAAAACTCAATACAGATGGAAACAAACTCACTTCTTTGGTTGAAGCTGCTGCTTATTTTCTGTGTAGCCTAATATTTCTTTTAATCATGCTATTCATACTTCTCTGGCTTTTTTTTTTTTTTTTTTTTTTTTTAAGCTCCTTTTTTTTTCCTGTTGTCTTTTAACAGATACAAGAAGTAATTGTGACACCTGGCTGCCCAGGTGTTGCAGGAGTGCTCGGGACAGAGACATATGGCTGCATTTAGAGTGGAAGCTGTTCTTATTTCAGCTGTCTGGCTTCACACGTCAGTTTAGCAACTTCTTATAATTGTCTTCAATTAAGGAAGTGTCAGACAAGGCAATTTTGTAGTTAAGAGACTTTTCTATTGCAACTAGAAAGATTATCTTTGTCTGAATGCCATCTTTATATTTTGATTTTTTCCAAATCTGAAAAGTTATCCCAAGAAACTATGTCAGGATCACTGGATGGCTGGTTATGTCAGCCTCCTTTTCCTTGGTTTGACCAAATGAAATACAGTTTCTTAGGAGTATGTGTCCTGGCAGGCACCCCTGGCAGATGGTGGAGAAGGAGAGAGAGACCTTCAGCCAGTGCAGCAACTCCCCTGTGGTTAAGGGGAGTAGTGTGGGCTATAGTGTGTTCCCCAGGCGGTCAGGGAACATGGCTCATTTCCATGAGAGGGGCCAAGGACTCAAGCTCTGCTGGCATACATGGCGCTTCTGGCTCCCAGCAGTGGCTAAAGGCTTTGTTTCTGCATCTGGACTTAGCCAACATCGCTTCTTTAGATTCTCCTACTTTTTGTAATTTTTCAGCAGGTTTCTATGCTGGGAGGGAAAAGAGCAGAACCTGATCCTCTGCCCTGTCCCATTCTTTACCATCGTCACTCTATGGACTTCTGCAACATTACTCTGCTGTAAAACCCATGGAAGAAGGCAACAGACCTATAGTCATAATTCACATTGTTCTGTTCTCTCTCTCATCTCTTCTGTGACCAGAACTAGCAGCTCCCCTACTAGGCCCAGTGAGATTGCTGTTTTCAAGTGATGCTGCAGGGAGACATCTTTCTTTCCCTGAAGAAGACAGACCAGCAGAGTCTCAGCCAGAGACTTGCAGTGTTCCTTGAACAGCAGCCAAGACCTTTCCTTATTACGGACATCAAATCTTAGGCCTGTTCTGGTTATATTGGGTGCATGGGTAGCAAGGGATATCACTTCAGGAAAGGTCTTCAGCGAAATGAACCTCAAGTTGCCTATGAATAATTTGTTTGGTCTCACAAAAACCAATTGCCACTTGATCATCTGTAGAACCTGATCCTCTGCCCTGTCCCATTCTTTACCTTTGTCACTCTATAGACTTCTGCAACATTAGTCTGCTGTAAAACCCGTGGAGGAAGGCAACAGACCTATGGGTATAATTTCTGTGTTCTCTTGCAGAGTTGCACTCAGTTAAGTATCTATCACGTAAAATGTCACAGACACTGAAACAGCTTTCATCATCACCAGAATATCTAGGTGCTTAATAGGCTCACTTGTATCCTTCCGACATTCATGCTATAGAAAAGTGCTTTATCTCCATGTTAAAGAATGGAAACCAAAGTACAGAATCTATCTGTGTACACATTAGTCATATACAAGTCTGTATGACAGTGAGTATGATATGAGCCTGGTCTCCAAAGTCCAAGCCACTGGCTGCACCTATTTTTCTTCTGTGCATTTTAAAAGTGTGTAAAAGTGCTAAGGGGTGGCAGCATTTCACTTCCTTTTTTCTGGAGAGAAATGCAAGCCTGTGGTTTCTTTATCTCAACCATGAGCTTAACCATGAGAACTCTTCCTCACGTGCCTACAACTGGAATGTGCTCATGTCTACAGTTTAGTCTGTCCAAGTATCTTATATTCATCAATTATTTTTAGACTTTTAATTTTTGCAATCAATTTATACTCATCTTACACATTTTGTCATTGATGTTCACTTACAAGAGCTGATTTTCAAATCTGAAATTTTTAAAACAAAGTGAAGGAAGTATTTTCAACGTAATATGCCTCATTGTTTCAAGTACTGAAAAAACCAAGATAACATGTTTGCATGTATCACTCTTCAAAACAGTGCAGTCATTAAAGCTTTAATGCATGTCGCTTCAGCCTACTGTTTAATAAAGAAGGTGCTACAATGTCATGAAACAATAGTCAATATGTTTATTTGAGCTCCCATTTAAAGTCTCAGTATATTAAGCTTCTCTTTTAGGTTTAGCATGAGTTGTTGCTCTTAAGATCTACCTGGCTAAAATGTCCAATTCAAGGAAGTCTGATTAGGCAGGGCATGTTTTCAAAATGGAGCTTCTCTATTAGGGCACAGCATTCAATGGCACAGCAGTTTTATAGTGTGTATAATAAAAAGAAAAATATAATACTGTAGTCAATGTTAAACAGGATTTGCAGACTTTTATATACAGACAATACATAGACAGTCACGTGACATTTTATGATTAAAACATTTTAAAAACAAACCTGTGATAATTTTTTTCAGGCAGAAGAGAGCAATAACGTGCATAAAAGGAAGAGTCCTTCTTGATAGCTATTCCATCATAATGATACCTAGAAAATAAATAAAAAATTATGATCTGACAAACACAGGACTTTCAACAAGTCAGGAAATAATTCATATTCCTCTTTGAAAGCAGATTATCATCCTACTTAAACAAGAAAAGACCAAGTAAAAGAAGTTACATTTGTTTTCTTAAATTCTGCTGAAAATTTATTTTCCCCAACAGAAGATAATTGCACAAACCCTTTGCAAACTCTTTTTAATAGTTTTTGCCCTGGAATGATAACTTCTTCTAAACAAAAAGACTTAAGCCAGTGAATAGGGTGCAACAGATTTGTACAAGACAGCTAGAGAAGCCAGGAACCAGAGTCTCAGCTGACAGAGGTCCCTGTATCCCTATGGCAGCTGAAGGATTTAGTGCAGTTGTTCCGCAGCCCTTCACAGTAGCATAGCGCCTGGATGGCTCATCAGTGGTCATGGCAAGCTAAAACCCAAGAAACCTGACAGATCTCTAAGGTTTATCCCAACCTCAGTGAGCAGTGGAGGTGCTACCAGCTGGCTCTTCCCTGTCTGAGTTATGGGGAAGGCAGGGGAGCAGTGCAGCAGCTTCAGGCTACCAGCAGTCAGCAGAAGGTAACCTACTGCTGGTGGGAAGAAAGAGCGTGGAGGCTGGGAGCTATCACTCACTTCCAAATCCTGCCATCTATGAGGAGAAGCCTGGGAGTGTCTGTGGTGAGGCACTCCCAAAGTAAAGGATCTCGCTGGATCAAGCTGATAGCAAGTCCAGACTAGTGGAGAAAAATTGCAGATCAAGTCAGGGCATGTCATTCTCAAATCCAGTACTTGACAGCTACTCAAAATGTTTGTAAAATTATGATGTCTCAATGCCGTGAAAACATCCCTTTTTCCAGTCTGGATGTTCACAGTGTGATTACAAATTTGGACACTGAATTGACAAAAGAGTATCTAGAAGAGAGGAAAGGGAAAAGACATGCAGAGGGAGGATCTGAGGTGATCTGGTTTAAATGGTTTTAAACTCTTTACAACATTTCCATTGACCACCAGTACATGCTGAGTCACTCCATAGATACCTGCAAGGACGAAAAGCACAACATAAACATTGATCACAGCTCCTACTCCCGTGCATCCTGGAGCCAGGCTTTCCTGACCCAGTGTCTCAAGAGCTCTGAGTAAGGTTGTGATGTCTGGGAGATGCCTCATGCAAGCCATGCTGTAAAAACTATTACAGTTCAAAGCACTATTTTTTAAAAAAACAGCCTGATCTGGAATTCCTGCCCTACCAAAGCAGCTCTGATGTGGTGATTTTCAGGGAATCAACTCTATTTTAATGTACTTAGTGGCATCACAAACCATTCTGGATCTTGTGATGCATTACAGACTTGCAACCAAGAATTCAGCTGCTGTGTTACAGTGCTGGCGCTTACAATTCAGCCATTTTTAAATTTTATTAAAACAATTATAAATAACATTTTTAAACAAAGGTAGCAAAACCAATACCTGTTACTCCCTCTCGTGCCCAGCCTTCTTGTCCTCAGGCCCGGGAAAACTAACCGAATAAGCTAAAAAAACAAGCAGAATATTAGAGATACTTGGTAAATTAATTCTAAAATATAAAAATGTATTTGCTACATTTTTTTTCTCCTTAATCACTTTTGCTTTCTGTCATTTGCAGGCTAATACCTGTTCTTACATACCTATCAAATGCTAACTGTTGAACCAAACTCAATCAGGCTTTTGGGGATTGAAATCTAAGTAATTTAAGGGATTATCTCCCTCAGGAAGGAAATTTTAAACTAGTCTGTTTTACCTTGCACTGAAACATAGTCAGTGCACACACCAGAGACCACTCTCAGTCAGGTGGGCTATATGAGCTAGGAGAAGTTGGAGGTGCCATGATTCTCCAGTATTCTGCCAGACCTGCAAACCTTGCTCATTCGAGCATGATTTACTCACACAAGGGACTTTGCCTGCCCACTCACTCTTGCAAGGAGAACTTACAGGATAGGGGGTGTTCCTCAAGTTCCTTGTAAGGAGAACTTGACGGAACTTGACCTGAATCATCAAGCTGCAAAGCAACCTTTTGACCAGGGCGGTGGTAAAGGTGAACTGAGGTCATGCAGCGTCTGTCAAGGTTAGGCCCTACAGAGTAATAAGATACTGTCAGGGTCATGATCCACTTCGCTATGATTATTCAGCCTGAGCTGTCCCGTGAAGACAGAGCCTAACCCAGGACAGCGGGAGCTCACATTCCCTATCTAGCAGGAAGAGAGGATTGAGTACTCAACTTTAGTGAGGAGTGAGGGGAGCCTCCACTTCACAGTGCAAAGCTTGGGCTTCGTGCAAACTGCACTTTGCTGGTCCAAAGGCCTGCTAAAGGACAAATTTCCCCAATTCATACTAAGGTGCACCTCCAGTTTTAACAGTGTTGGAGTGGTCCTGTTCTTTGATCGCTTCTGTGAGCACCCACCCCATCTGCTCCCTTGCTCAAGCTGATGTTTTAACATAATCCCATTCTCCTAAAAGGGCAGCCTGTGAAACTGGGACTTCTGTGGCATGAGACACATACTTCTTCCCCTTCTACAGATACAGTGGTGTACGTGGGCAGAGGGATAGGGTAGATGAGATTAGTAGTGTCTTAAATCATCGCAGTTTGATTCACACAGGGCTTGACTGCAAAAGTCCTTACAGCCTACACGCAGGTGATGCAGTCAGGTTACTCTGTCCTGATGAATTATCAATAGCTAGGCCATGGAAACCCATTATATGTGCACCTTTAATTTACACCAGCGTTGCTGCAGTTCCTTCCCCAGCCTCTCGCTGCACAGTCCCACCTCCTGCTGCAGAAGGACAGACCATTTCAAGCCATTGGGGAGCTGCACCCCAGCTTGCTCACTCGCCATGTGTTAACTTGCACCACAATGCACGGGGTCGGTTAAGGCTGTGAGCAAACCGTTGCAAGCACCAACCTATAGCAGCCATGGCTCATCAGCTACGCTCTTCTGCATGACCAGACTCATGCTTCATCCATGCCTGTCCCAGCTTAAAAGTAAGATGCATTAACTTAAACCACAAGAAGGCTTAGCTTACAGGTGGTAACTCAATCGTGCTGGAGCACCTGAAATTGTACAGACAGGATGGGATTCATCTTACCTACATGGCTACAAGGTATAGATGCCTAAGCTAGCTGCTGCAGACTCTGTTGTCAACAGCAAAAACCAGGCAGTTCCAAGGCACATTTCATCTGAGCTGCCTGAGATGATTCATTTAGGGTGAGAGGAATCATATGTAACTACTTATTTCTCTCCATTTGCTACCAAGAGATTTTAAGGTGACTAGCTTCATGGCAGACATCTACATTGAAGCCAGGCAAATACTACCTGTGGGCTCGGCTGATGGGTGACAATCCATTAAGCTATGGCAATAAATCACACTGGATCACTCAGTCAAATCTTAATTTTAAGTAAGAGTGATTTAACTCACCCAGTAAAAAAAAATAGATTCAACTGAATTGAGATAAATGATTCAATGAGCAACCTGATCTAGTTGAAGATGTCCCTGCTGATGGCAGGGGGGTTGGACTAGATGACCTTTAACGATCCCTTCCAACCAAACCATTCTACAATTCTATGATTTTATTATATCTAAAACAAGGTTATCTGCACAAATGAAATTGATTTCAGGTACAACTGTAAAAACCAAAATAACCTGAATTATTTTGGTTTTGTGTTAAAACAATGCTTAGTAGTTCTTACCTAATATAATAATATTAGCAATAAATTAATATAATATTAGCAATAAAAATAGGAAATCCTGAACAAAAAGTCTTGAGCAACAAGTAATCACAAGGCATTCTATCTTCCTTAATTTGTTAATTAAAGTTGAATAGCTATGAGTGTTTGTTGCAATTGGGGTATCTAAGTGGTAATTGCTCTGTGGGTTCTATCAACCTCCATGTATTAGAAAAGTGTAACTGTTTAAAGGAGATTGGGGTTTACATCTGCATTTATTTTGCTTGGATATAACAACTTTTTTAGGGTGTGTTTGGAGCAAAATCTCCCCAAGTATACTTAAAAAGGAAAGCGTAAAATTATATAACAACCAAAGGAGTCTTTTAAGGACAGAAGAATCAGCTCCTCAGGACAAGTTTATTAACCTTGCACTGTTTACTCTGGTAAAGTTTTCTAAAATGTATTGACAAAATAAATATTTGCTAGTATAACATACATCAGTTCTCTGAAGAAAACAAACTCCATCAGAGACAATACTGTTTTCTCTAGTACAACTATGCCTACATGAAGGCTTGTAAGAAATGTATTAGAAAAGACACAAGCATAACTGAATATGAATTACATATTCATTTTTCTCTGTTATTTAATCTCTTCTGATATGAAGTGTGTATATTTGATCATCAGATTTTCTGTTTAGGTGTCTCTGCTTCTTATCTTATATATCATATCTACTCTGTACCTTTCCAAAGGTGGCTGAATTTACTTGAGACTTGGAATTTGGACTGCAGGTTTCCATATACAATTCATATAGTAGCCAACGGGGTACAGTGCATCCTTCACACAAATAGAAATTTTCAGATATCCTTTAAAACAAAAACATCAATTGGTTTATGTCAGAATTAGAAGAAAGAATTGTTAGTTTGTGATTTTAATAGCTCACCAGGTTTACCGTAAACTCTGTAATAGTTACTCTGATTTCACAGAGCATAGAATCAAAAAGAGAGCTACTACTTTTGTGTTCCTCTGTATTCTGGGAAAAAGTATACATTGTCATACATTTTTTTTTCTGTTTGTTTTTTACTTTAAAAGTTCTACTTTCCCCGTTTCCAAAGTGTAAGAGAAGCCATGTGAGACTCTGCTAAGGAATTAACTAGATCACATTGTTTTTAATTTAAAAAATAGAACTTACTCATACCATTATAACATTAACACGAATACAGAAAATATTAGCATTTCTTATATGGCAACTGTTGTTATATCAAAGGATGTAACTTTAATCTTTTAATTAGAAAGGTCTCCACTGTACCAAAGATGGTAATAGGAACATTTTTCCATCTGAAATGTGCAATATGGTGCTTTGGGACAGAGAGTGCACAAACTATGAAGGACCAAATTCTGGTCTCATACAACCTCACTGATTTTAGCACACCACTAATAAGAGAACAGAATTTTAATTTACAGTTACTATGTAACAGAACTTCAAGGACTGAAACTGGCTTAGACATTTAAATACTCCTCCTTTGGCCAAATCCCTTACTCATCCTACTCATCAGAATGGCCATAGTCAAGTAAATGCAACTACTTGTGTGAATAAGGTGAGGAAGATGTAAACTTAGTTACTTATTAGCCTAAGGTATTACCTTCACCGGAAAAAAAAAAGAAAAAAGACCTTTAATAATGAGATAATGCCTATGGTTTCGATGTCAGAAGATAATAGCCTCCTGCAGTACAACTACAGGAGCAAAGCTGGAGCAAAGAAGCAGAGAGATTAATTTTCAAAGCATGAGACACTGATTGTATGACAGTGTTTTCTTACTCTGAGTCTGCTTCTGTTATACCAAAGGTTTTATGTGTATTTAATGAATTTATCAGCTGAATGCTAGTGCAGCACAGTGCCAGTTACTCACAGTGTCTTTACTGATAATCAAATTGGTTGGGAAAGCAGACTTTTCACAATCACCAGGTAAGATATGCCTGTTGGATTTTAAATCAGCATCCTCTCTTTTATTAGTAGCCTGGTTTCAGGCGACCCAGCGTTGATCTTTCTGTATTAGCTGTATTGGCAGTAGATAGTGGATAAGGTCTTCAGCAAACTGGCTTGCTAGAACAGGCTGAGCCAGAAGACAATCGCTGTGCAGCCTGATGATGTCTACCTCACCTCTTATTCATGTCTCCTCCCCTTTCTCCAGGGAAGAAGGCTGACTGCCTCCCCCAGGTCTCCCTAACAAAAGGTCCCAAAATTCCTCACTTTTACCTCCTCAGAGCCCATCTTCTCAGCCACCAACCCAAGAGGCTGGTGATGCCAAGTGCCAGAGCTGAGCTGTGCTGGGCTCCCTGCCAGCTCCTCACCACCCCCAGCTCCACCACCCAACAGCGAAAGCGTTGCGGCTAGACACGAGCAGGAACCTGCACCAGAGATAGGGGATCTGGTGCACTAATAGGGCTGAAAGGTAAATGAAATTTATTCTAGATAAGAGTCCTGAATGAGCTCTGCCTCCCAGCAGGCAGAAATGCTTGTTTCTTCTAGAGCAACCATCTCAACCCCCCTTGTAATCGAGCAGTCCCTGAGGAGATTAAATCCAAGTCCAAATTCATCCTTAATATAACACCACAACAGTCATTGGAATGGCAGCAGAAATTAATTCATACTTCAGTAGCTGGTTTCTGCCAATAGTTTTGCCTCAGCATTTAACTATTTAGTGACAGAATATTTGGGAATTTCTTTTGGTGAATTTATCACCTATTAAACTACCATCCTTTTTCAAATAACAAGTCAAACACATTCTTAGTGCTGACACATAATACAAAAATACTGTCTATCAGGAAAAAAAATCCGCACAGAAAAGAGCACAGTGCTCACCTTCTCGCCTATTAGCCCCGAGATTCTCAGAACCTGACTGTTTATGGCATGCATCAAAACAAAACCGTTAATAAAAACAACAAAATCAAAAAGAAAGAGTGGTAAGGGAGGAAGATGGGGGTTAAAGAAAAAGCACATGGGGAAAGACCTCCTCTTTTTATCTACTGCTTTCTATCCATGCTTTCTGTAGGATTTGTTCTCTGATTGGTTCTAGGACCTCACATGGACTCCAGGTTTTTGGGGTTCACCACCTGTTACATGTGAAGCCTTGGCAGCCAAGCCATTACATAGATTTGCAAATCTGCTGCTAAATCATTTCTGGACCAAAATCTGGTTTGCTATTGTCAATGCAACAACTGTAAAATGAAGCTGAGTATTTAAAACATTTCAAAACTTTAAAATCTGATTCAGAAGGTTGTTGTGGTGAAAAAAACAATCAGTTCATCTTTTCAAGGACTGTTTACAGTTCAGTTTTATGCAGTGTCTAAAGCTTGTTGGATGACCTTGGATGAATCTCTTCCATCAGTCTTTTTGAAATGGGAGTAGTGGTATCTATCTCAGAGCAGAAGCACAGACTATCTCACGCTGCTCAGGTATTACTGAGAGGGGGAAGAAAAAGGTTTTGGATTACTCACTGTCAAGTTAAAAGTTCCTTTGTATATGTTGTTACTGTTTCACACAAAGCTTCAACACTGTTTACTAGCTGGACTCATCTGTGCTTGGGGAATGAAGGAAATCAACCTGGGTTTCTCTTTGGCTGTCATACAGCAGATGACACTTTTCTCAAAGCACAGGAAAATGATGGTGACAACTGTACTTCACCACAGAAAGCGTCTCACTGAGGAGTTCAGTTGGTACCTTCACCTCCAGGAAACGTAACCTCAGAGAAGGTCAAGCACTTGGCATCACTCTGAACTCCAGCACGCCACCAGCCGCGCAGCCCCACAGCCACCCACGGCGGGGTGTAAAATCCCGCCGGGCACGAGTGGTCCAGCCAGGGATGGTCCTCACCAGCTGTGCTGCGGCATCACGCCGAGCAGACAGCAGCCCAGGGGCCAAACCCCACTGGGTGGGTAGGCTGAGACAAAATCCCATCTCCCCCATCTCAAACCACCCCCAGGTCGGTCAGGCTTCTGGCAGGAGGGAAATGTCCCTGCTTTCATGGCATCGTTTATGCACCATCGTGGTGACGGGGCCTTTACAGCAAACCAGACTTTTG